GAGAAGTTTGAGGAACTTTGCTGGCACTGTAACAAACCTAGGCACATAAGAGCTCAATGCCGGTAACTTCAACACAGGGAAGATGCCATGACAGGAAAGGCTGCTACCCAGAAAGGTTGTTGGAACTGTGGAAAGCAAGGACATATGAGAAGCCAGTGTAAGAAGAATACTACCAATAAGTCAGCCTTGGAGAAACCAGTAGTGGTGGATGTTGAGATACACCCACCAACCCCCATTGTGAAAATCCCAACAGGTAAGTGTAAAATGACAAGCACACGTAGTGTCTATGTGACAGAAAAGCTGGATGGCCAAAAGTGCAACTTTGTCATAAATACTTCATCTCAGCAAACCCTTGTGAGTATCAAGGTGCTAGATCACAAAGGAGTACCAGAAGCCATACAGAAGCTCTGTGGTGTGACAGGACATTATGCAAGGTTGTGGAGACCAGTGTGGGTAACTATTGAGCTCATAGGCATGAAGGACAGACACAAACTATACTTGGCTGACATAGAAGACCAATGCATATTAGAGTTGGACTACTTACTACCGAGGAAGTGTGTAGTTAATTTCGATAAAATGACATTTGGGAACAATAAAGGCCAAATCCCGGTAAGTGTTAAAAGAGAGGTTGAACTAACCAGGTGCCATCAAGCTGAAGTCAAAGTAACTGAAGGAGTTGATGATGGTGAAGTGGACCGAAGTATGGATATTAAAGCAGAACAGGAGAAAGACCAAGATTTGAAGACAATAATTGATTTTCTAAAAGCAAGTGTCTTGCGCCCTGCTTGGGAGGAGGTGTGTAGCTTAAACCTTGTGACAAAGAACTATTGGGCACAATGGGACCAGTTGAAGCTTGAAGATGGTATTCTTCTCCGGAGATGGGAAACTGTAGATGGGAAAGTGACGACCTGGCAAACAGTTATACCGAGAAAGTTACGGGAAGTTGTGCTGCGTCAATCCCATGATAGTTTAACAGGAGGACATCTCGGAGTTAAGAAGACATTGAGTCACCTACAACAGAGAATTTACTGGATAGTTATGAGGCAAGATGTGGAAGAATGGTGCAGGACCTGTATTACATGTTGTGCTAAAAGGGAACCCAAGTATAGGGGACGAGCTTCAATGGAAAGAGTAGCCATTGACATTGCTGGCCGTTTTCCCCAAACTCGTG